GGAAAATCACCCGGTGTGTCTGGGGAGCACCTGTTAAGTTCCTTCTTGCCCAGGGCATTACAGGATCAGAGAATAACAAGTGGGCAAGCCCAACACCAGGCAGCTGGCACAGAGTGGGGACGTGCCGGGTCCTGACTCAGAAGGCCTGCTGGTTTGGGTTCTCCAAAGATCACCCAGCCTGTCCCCTTCCTGGCAGACAACAAACACAGCAGGTGTGGTTGGAGAATAACGGCCCCAAAGACGGCCAGGCCCGAATCCCTGGAACCTGTGACTTATGTCTCCTGACATGGAAAAAAGGACTTTGCAGGTGTGACTCAGAATTGTGAGATGGGGAGATCACCCTGGATTATCCAGTGGGCCTAGTGTGATCACAAGGGTCCTTACAAAAGGCAGACAGGAGGGTCAAAGTCAGAGTGGGAGATGTGAACGACGGACGCGGAGCTCCGAGTGACGAGGCCCCAAGCCAAGGAATGCAGGCGGCCTCCAGAAACGGGAAAAGGCAAGGACCAGATTCTCCCCTGCAGCCTCTGCAAGTAACACAGCCCGGCTGACCCACTTTTATTTTAGCCCCATATGACTCATTTCAAACTTCTGACCTCCAGAACTATAAGTTAATGAATCCGTGTTAGTTTAAACCAGTAGTTTTGTGGCAATATGTTACAGTAGCAACAGGAAACGAATACAGAAAACAGGGAAAACTGAAGCTTTCTTCTGAGTCAAGGGAACAGACCAGGTCATTCTGTGCATAAGGGGACCAGCTAACGTGCCTCTCCCAGCACTGGGGAAAGTGGTAAGTCCTCCACCAGCAGACGATGAGCAGGGAGAGCAGACCCGTGGCCGCCACCCATTCCAGCTCAGACTGACAGGACTCCCAAAAGGCGTCCCAGCTCCCACCTCATTGACGGAACTTCCTACGAGCTGTCCAGAGAAAACAAGGAAGCAATGCATGTGCAGTGAGCTCCCACTGGCCTTACTGAGCAACCGCGGGAAGTGTGCGGGGCTGGAAGTCGGAAGAGGTGGGTCTTCCTCCTGTGTTCACTGGGCCTCTCTTTGTCCAATAAATCCAGGGACACACTGACAAGCTGCAGTTCCAGTCACTTCAGGCAATGACTGATGCGCTGGGGTTCTGTGTGTTTGAACAACATAGTAGACTGGGTTTAACCAAGTATATTTTACAGGGAAAAACAAGTCATTCATTCATTTGGTGAACACTACTGCAGTCTGTACTAATAGGCAGACAAGTAGGGCACCTGGGGTTCAAACAAAGCTATGATGGGATGTGACTGACCACCTCCCTCCAAGGGCGGCCAGTCCTCCCTGGACCCTGATATCCTCATCCCAGGGCCACTGACCACTGGCTCTATGTCAGTGCACCACAGGCCTTCCCTGACTCCCGCTGGGTCAGACCTCCCAGCTCCACACTCCCTAAGCTTCTTGCCCTTTGCCTAAAATCTTAGTTATCCATGTGCCTGCCCTGTCCCCACTGCTGAACATGGGCATGCAACAGACCATGAGGATGTCAGCACAGCCCAGAGAGCTCAGTATCTGTCTGTAGAATGAGCGAATGCACAGACATCACGCTGGTGCCCAGGGACAGTGAGACAGGTGTCCCCGTCCTGCCTGCCTGCCTCACTTCTTTGTATGTTGCCGGAAAAATTCAAAAGCAGGATCTCCAAGAGGTATTTGCATTACTATGTTCAGCGCAGCACTATTTTTAACAGCCAAAAAGTGGCAGAAACCCAAGTGTCTGTCAACAAATCAGTGGATGAAGAACATACATTACATGCATTCAGTTGAATACTATGTAGCCTCAAAAAGGAAGGAAATCCTGACACAGGCTACAATGTGGATGAACCCTGAGAAGGACATTATGCTCAGTGACATAAGCCAGCCACAAAATGATACAATCTGATTTCACCTACATGAAGCATTTACTTAGTCAAAATCATAGAGACAGAAAGTATAGAGGTGTTTGCCAAGGGCTGGGGAGAAGAGGAAGGGAGAATTAGAGTTGAATGGTTAGAGTTCATTTTGCAAGATGAGAAAGATCTGTTTCACGACAATGTGAACACACTGAACGCGAGTGAACTGTGCACTTAAAAGTGGTTAAACATTACGTGTTTTTTAACCATCAGAAAAACAATGTTGAAAGCACATTAAGAAAGAAAAAGATGCCCAGGACAGATATATTTCAAAGGAGCATCTCTTACGGTGTGACAACAAATGAGAAACAGGGAAAGAGAAAACCACCACTCACATCAACAAGGTGCGTATATTTACTGCAGAGTCAACACTGCCGTGGGAAACCGGGGAGCGGGAGGAAGCCCTGCACCCACCTCCAGGGACTCTGACCGCCCTCAGGCTGATCGCTGCCCTCTGCGCACTTCCTTCCCTGGGAAACAGAGCCGGTCTGCACTGCCCCATCCAGTGTCCTCGCACAGCTCCAGAGGAAGACGAGACTGGCACCGGAAGGGCTAGGCGAGGCACAGCGCAGCTCACAGATCTGAGGGACTCTGGTCCTTAAAGTGACGGCTTCTGAGGACCACCCACTGCCCTGGTCCACCTGGGAAGCCTGCGTCTTCCCAGCTGATGCCACAAGAGCCTCCAGGGACCCAAGCCCCACAGTGCCCTGCCTGATGCCAGCCCACTCAACGTGAAAGGACCAAGTTGGGTCCTGTACACAGACATCCCAGGCCCTCATTCTTGACATCCACAATTACAGCCAAAACAGCCTTTGAAAAGGACAGAGGAAGAGAAAATAGCAGCCTGGACCTAGCAATAAATTGGAGGTCTCAGGGTAAAACACACACCCAGACGTCCTGCTGTTAACGGTGGCCAGTCCAAGCAAGTGACCGGACAACCAGACCAAACAGCTTTCTGGCCAATTAATCTATCCCTCTGATTTAATGAGCTGTTCATTAAGCACTGGAAGTGGGTCACAGGCCAGAGAGCTCTTGGCACATGTCCACACAGGCTGCCAGGTGATGAGGGAAGGGGAGATGGGGGCCACACTCCAGCCCCACAGGCCCCGCGATGCCACGCACAAGCCCCACCGCACGCCTGACCCACTGCTTCGAGGCGATGTTTCCCTGTGCCTCCTCACCTACTCCCTCGCTGGACAGACTCCCAGTCCTAACCCTTCGGTTCCCCCCCAACTGGGACCGTCACCCAGATGAGCATTACGAAGAGCAGGATCACAGAGGTACAGCACACATCTGGCTGTGAATCCCAGCTGCACCCGACGACTTCATCTGGAACTGTTGGCCTCCCCAGGCTTCCATTACCTCACCGACAAAAGGTAATGACATCCTCACCCCATCTAGAATAGTTGTCAATAAATATTTCAACATTAGAAGGCCTAATAAAGCATCTGACACATAGCAAATGCCAAATAGTAGCTATCAGTAATAACAGCTACTACTTACAGAGATATTACTCTCATAACGATAGTGGTATTAAGGACAACATATTCCCTGCGTCTTGGTCAAAGATGAAGAGAAGAGGCATTAGGTGGTGAAACCCCAGGGACAGGCCAGCTCCACGGTGACAGCAAGAGGCAATCCCAACAAGGGTAACACCCCAGACGCTCCACCCAAGGCCTCTGTGCTTTCCACCCAAGTGGGAAGGTAGAGGGAGAGAGGAGGGCTGAGAATGCTGAATGCCCAGCCTGAAGCCACAGGGATGGCAAATTTTGCATGTTCTCACGAAACCAGGAAGAAAACTGATTTCAGGTCACATGCCCACCACTTCCTAGACCTCTGGGCCTCCTCACTATGCCTCTCTGAGCCTCAGTTTAATCTAGAAAAAGAAGGTAACATGACCCGCACTCTACAGCTTGTTGTGAGCATTAAATGTTCACTCCTCACTCATGGGAAAGTACTTTGAAACAACTCACTCCTATGTCTGTGAGGAGCAGTACTGTTGCATTTGTTTCCACAAATTCAACTTAATAAAAAATGCTAAGGACTGGGAAGGTCAAGGCAGTGAGAAAGTTATTTTAATAAGTTAATGAAATGCTTAGAGAAACAGGAGCAAAGATGCCAATTTTCTTCCCAGAACTGCTATCTTTCAATTGAGGTTTCTGTTGACTGGATGAATTGGCTCAAAGTAAAACTGGACCAAAACAAAAAAGCAAAATGAAGCTCCCAACATCTGCTATGTGTTTTCTATTTAGGTGAGCAGATTCTTCTAAAAGTCAGAGTCCAAACCAGGCTGCGTCCAGGATGACCAATTCAGTCACTCCACCACCTATTCTCTCCAAAAAATCATCACCATCCATTTGACCAATCCCAAATCTATCTTCAAAATACACTAAATTAGTTTCTTCTATTTCAGTGCCGCACACATGGACAAATTCCTTCACAGTGATCAGAAGACAATTTAATCCTTGTTCAGCCTTTGCTCCATGTACCACAGTCAGAGAGCAACAGGTCAGAATGTTTACCAAATTCTTCTGAAGTCCCCCAAACAGCAGAGCAGAGTGCACAGGCTTCCACACCCTAAAGCAACCAGCCAAGGAAGCTGTGTGGAAATCCCACATTTGTTCTTAAACATTCAAGTAAATCTTACCTTATATACCACAATAAATTGCTTTAGTGTTTTTTTTTTTTTGCTTTAGTGTTTTAATGTTTTGAGTCAGTTAACAGTTAATCATCAAACCTTTTCCCTAAAGTCTTTGAATGAAAAAGATACATTTCACCATTCTTTCTCATTCCCCGGCAGACCCTGCACATCCCCAGGGTAACATGTATCGCAGTTTGAGAAGTTGCAGGTCAGAAGAGAGAGGGTGAGTGGTACTCCTCCAGCCATCACACACATTTTAACCCTGGCCTTTAATCAAAACCAACTACCCAACTCACAGTAGCTTCCCTGGACAATAGAGAGAGGGGTCTAGGGCTTGTGAAGGGGACAGTCATCCCTTTTGGCACCTCTAGCACCATCTAAAGAGGCCAACAGCTACGATGCTTGAGTTCCACACAGCCCCGCCTCCAGCCACTCACCCGTATCCGGCGCATGGCAGCCACGATCTCCACTCTGCTGTTGGGCCTCGGCACGTCCAAGCTTCCTACGTACTGCAGGGAAGAAGCAAACACTCATTCAGAAGAGGAATGGCCAGTGGCCCTCGTCACAACAGAATGTCAGTGGTGGACAGACCTCTGGAGGCCATTCGGTTCACCTCCCCATTTTACAGACAAGGAAATCAAGAGCCGAAAGGGTGTTTTGTTTTGAGACTATTTCTAACTTTATAAGAAGCAACTAAACAAGAAATTATTGCTTCCTTTTCCATCTTGTTCTTAATCAGAGATGCAGCTGAGCGCTGTGTTTAACGAGCAGGCTTCCAAATCAGAGAAACTAAGTGTGAAGAACCTCCCCCCACTCCCTCTGGGGCAAGGCACTTTCCTTTTGTCTCAATTTCCTCATCTATAAAGTGGGATTTCAGTAAAGATCGAATGCGATCTGGTATAAATATCTCACACAAATGTGTTTTGTACATATTAAAGCACACACACACCCAAAAAGGAATACATGTTTTTTTAAATAAATGGCACTTCATCGAGTTAGCCTGAGATGTTAGAGACCTTGCATACTTGAGTAAGTTCCCAGCTGAAGGAAAGGAACAGGTTGTTTATTAAGAATTCTAACTTGATTATATCTTTAAGTTCATTTCAAAGTCAAACAACAGGCAGGTTAATGTTCAACGTATGAACACTGCCTCAGTGTACACTATTCAGACTGCAGAAATGCACAGAACAAAGGCATAAAGTCCCCCATTCTGAATGCTTTGCTTTCCATCTCTGTGTACTGAAGGACACATACACATTCATAGACACACAGGGGAATTTATTTCCTGTAAAAAGGTTCATACTACCCATGTTGTTCTGCAACTTGGTGATGTTTGTTGGTTTACTTTAAACCCAACTCGGGCATGTTTCTCTGCCCACGCATACGGGCTCTATCACATTATATGTGACAGTCCGCCCACCCACGCCCCCCACGGATGGACATCTGCCCTATGTCACTATTACAAACACTGCTTCCACAATCTTCCTCATCTACACACCTCCGAGCTCATCCAAGTAGCTGGATTCCTACACGTGGGACGCCTGGATCACAAGCACGGATAATCTCTAGATACCATTCCTTGGCAGGATGAAACGAGGAGGACAAGCCAACATCTTTGAGGCACAGATGTTAATCCCTTCATATGCACCATCCCATCCCACTCTGACCCGCTGGGATTTGCCTTTCCTTCTTATAGGGGATATCCTAGAAATTAACAGCCCCAAAATAACCTAAAAGTCTACCCAAGCAAAGTCTACATTAATACAAGATACCTTTCTCTGCAGGAAATGTATTTCCTGTGATTACAGGAATAGAAGGTTCTTCCTGAAATTTGGAGCTAAGGCTGGCCCCAGCGAGAAGGGTTTCAAAAACGAAATACTGCAAAACTATTTCCCCTTGTATTGATCCACGGTTTGTGTAACACACTGAGGAGCACAGTTCCCAGCAGCTTAGCAGTGAGCACCTTGCACTCGGGACCCACGGCGGGCAGCCCACCTTGGCGGGTGGGAGCAGCGTACCTGTCCATGAACACCTGGCGACTGGCAACTGGCTCAGGTGAACGAGGCCCCCCAGATCTAAGAGTGTGGTCAGACTGAACTGTGCCTGGTCTTTCTCCCCTCTGAGCTCTGGTGGGGCCCCACAGCATGTCAACATGTCGGTGACCCAGAGCCAGGAATGACGTGAGGTCCAGGTTCCTGATTGCCCAACTTCAAAGGCCCCCCAGCCGGGGGCAGTTTCCACACCCCCGTCCGGACACTGCAGGCCCGCCTCTGCCCTGAACTCCGAGCAGTCAGCGCTGACTTGGCAACAGGACTCAGGGCTCGCGCTCCATCAGCCACCAAGTGAGAGCTGGGACCTAACGACCGAGCAAGGTCACACGTTATAAGTGAGCCTGGGGCACCGGATGGTCCTCCCACACTGGTCCCCACCACGCCGGGGAAGGACCTACTGCCCAGTGAGATCCTCAGCTGCCTGAACACAAGCACCCAGATGGGACCCATCCCCACCCTCTACCCCCGCCCAGCCAGTCTCTACCTCCTGCCTCCTCCAGACAGGCCACTGCTGGCCTGGGACTCCTGAAGCGGTCAAGACTCATGCTGCCCAGCAGGGACAAAGGCCTCACAGATGGAGAGAAGGGTGGCTTCTAACCTTGGACAGGTTTCCTAACAAAGCAGCCGCATTCTGCACAAGGGGGAGCTCCTGTGAGGCCCCCTGACCTCTCAGCCCACTGTGCCTCCTCACTCCATCAGCCACCCCCAAGCTGGTACCACACCTTCACACATGCATGCACGTACACTCACACTGCCACATGCACACACGACTCACCTCACACCCCCCACACCGAGCATGCACACAGCCGTCCCTCACAAATTCTTCACACCACACACTCACCTGTCTTCCTTCCTTCCCAATCGGGACATCACAAAGCTGCCTTCCTGAGAATGAATCTAGAGCACATAGCCAACCACAGATACACCTTAGGGTCAAAGACATTAAGAGGGAACAAAGCAGGGTTCAGGCTCACATCTTCCAGTCAAAGCTAAATATCCACACTGAACCATGAGTCAGAAAGCAGACACAACAGGCAGAGAAGCAGGAGAGGGGTCAGAAAGCCTGTCCTCAGGGCAGAACAAGACGCACGATTAGTGAACAGCACCGCATGTCCACACATAACTGCACTCCAAGTGCCTCAATAGCTGACCATTACCGCCTCCACAGCTAACTTCGGTCCCACCTGGTCTCCATCTGGAGCTAAAGTATCAGACAGTCTGAGACCAGCCCCATCCGCCAGAGGAGGGGTGGTCCTTACAACCAGTCCAGCTCACCGTCACTTCTGAGGAAAATGGACCACAGGCTGGCACACTCCACATTGGAGGCTGCCTCCCAGGCCTGAACCTCGTCTACCTGCTGAGCCAACAACCTTTAGAGATCCCAGCTCCTGTTACGTCCGCCCCTCAGGCACCAGGCAAAAGCCAATTCCCTGCCCTCAAATGCAGCTGCACAGTGAGAGGTTACTGCTCAGAAGTGGCATCCCTTTCATCAGCCTCTTCCGCAGGACGCCATGTGCCAAGGGCTCCTGGGACAACAGAGGCACGTTAGCTCGATGCCTGGGAATCAGGGGAACGACTTCCAGAAGGGACACTCATGTTCTTTCCTCTCTCCATCCCCCGAGTCATGCTGCTCCCCTAGGCGTCCTCATCTTGATTAACAGCCCCTAGTAGATCCAGCAGTGGTTCGAGTCATAACCAAGCCTGAAAGCGGGCAGTCACCCTTGATCCATCCATCACCCGTATCCATCACCGCTAAGCAGCCGCCAGGACCTCCAGTTCTGTGCTCCACCTCTCCATGCACCCTGCTGCCACCTGATTCCAGATGACCCTTCCTCACTCACTACACCTGCAGGCTGTCTCCTCACTGGTTTCTCCACAGCCCCCTCGGCTGCCTCCGAACTCTTCTCCGCAAGGCTGTCAGATCAGACCGTTACTCCCTCACTGAACCTCCCCAGCTGACTTCCAGCTGCTCTGGGCACAACAGTCACAGCCCTCTGCACGGCCTGCCTGGCCGCCTCTGCTGCCTCGCCTCACACCCCTGGCCTCTCATTCTTCAAAAGGTCCTCAAACGCACCCTATCTCCTCATTGACGTGCTTCTACACATGCTCTCTGACCCACTCTCTCTTTATTCCTCCAGCATTCACCATCCAGTCAGTCTCTGCCTAATCTCTGCTCCCCTTTGCTGACCCCAGGGAAGCTGAGATGCTCAGATTGACAGTTCCCATGGCTCCCTGTGGTTCTTTACAGGATCAACACACAGTTAATGCTGGATTTGTTCGTCACTGGTTGACCATGCCTAGCACAGGTCCAGCACACAGGAGATTCCTATGTCTGGTGGGAATCTTCTAAGCATGAACACGTATCCACCACCACCCCACCACCGCCCTCACAGCAGTCACCACTCTGTCCTCAGGAGGAGAAGCCTGAGCCCTGGAATCTGCCTGTGTCCCAGCATCACAGGCATGGCCTGCTTTTTCCAGGTGGCCACCCCACCACCCCCTTTGTCCTATTGTGAGTATATAAACGGACCTTTTATCCAGGTCCATAAAGTGGACCTAAGCCAGATGCTCTTACAGTGGCCGCATGCAAATCTTGGCTTACCGTGAGATGAGGGCGTATCAAACCTTTCCTCTGGTGGATTTTTAGAGCCCTCTAAGGCTTCTGTGGGCCTGCCTGCAGGAGTCTCTGCTGTGAGACATCCCAGAGAGGCTCTGTTCAGACCTTCCACCACAGAGCTTAAAGGGGAATGAGGTGAAGCAGTTTAAAAATATCAGGGCCTATTTCTTTTTGATTAGCATCTAGGGAAAAAAAAAAACTAGAGGGAAGATGCAAATTGTAGTAGGAAATCAAGATATGAGGCCATCCATGTCAGCTATGTCTGTGGCTTCACCTTCCGGATAAGCAGGGGTTGACTGCAAATAAGGTTACCCAGAGGACTTCAGATTTTTTTTTTTAAGTTTCTGGACACTCTCTATCTCGTACTAGATTAACACCTCATGAAGTTGTTGTTTTTTTTCATTTTCTCCCTGCCACCTTATTTTCTGGAGATTAGCTTCTGAAGACAATGATAGACTGAACTGTAGTGTCTCATGGTATGTGAAGCATGATACTAAAAAAGCAAGACCTAGCAGCCACTCAGGGACTTGTGAGACTTTCTGCCATCGCCTTCCCTGGGGACCTCCCCTTATTTACAATGCTTGTCAACAGAAGTCTCAGAGGATGCCAGAAACCAGGAAAGAAACCTCCACAGGAATCAAAAGTAAATGCACCAGATGATTCTGCTTCTGATAACGTGGGAGAAACTACTAGGCCAGGCTTCCAACAAGCGCCACATACCATGTCTGGACAAGATATTAAAAAATAACCCTGCTGAGAATGTACACCACCAACAGTGACCCATAACATAGACTATACTATAGGCAGTAGTTAACGTATCAATATTGGCTCGGTTGGGAAA